GTTTTATAACCATTGCTGTGTACATTTGTTGTGTGTTTTTTTTCATTTTTTTTTTTTTGTCCCTCCTCACGAGATTGTTTCTTTTAACATTCTGCCAAAACTTTGCGAAGTAGTACTGTTTGGACCTTGACGAAGGGGACATACCCCGAAAGCTTGTCCTGAAAATTGTATGTTAATGCAAACAAGAAAAGTAACAAGGACAGTACTCAATTGTTTCTGTCCCCTCAATACAAATTTTAATATACAATTTTTTTCTTTTCTCTAGAGTTATGTTTTTGTTACAAAGCCTCTATTTGAATTCAGCAAGACAAAATAGGAATGCAAAATTAAAAAGCTTACAAACAAAAAAGAAACTGCAAACAAGGAAAGAATGGGGCAAATTAAAAGCTAATTAGGGTTTAAATAGGGTTAATAACATTTTTTATAGGTAAGGTAGCATTAGATTTCATTGGTCAAACTGACAGCTCAGTTCTGTAGGCATCACAAGGACTGCAACTTTCCCTGTCTAATCATCAGAACTTCATAAAAGCTATTCTCCCTGCTGTTTATTTTGTGGCTGAGCAGCAGGTGGTGGTTGTCCCTGACCTCAGAGCTCTGCAAAATTCTTCTTCTTCTTCCCTTTGTCTTCAGCACATGGCTGAGTTCATGTCCTTTGTTCCCTCCCCCTACTTCCTGCCAACATCATTTCCTGTTGCATGAGTGCCCTGGGCCATTCAAACAGGTTTATTGGCATATGTTAAAGGGATGCCTAACTTCTAAAAACAGTTCATGGTATCCAAAATACACCATTCCATATATTTATATAGAAATCACTAAAATAACCATAGCAACACAGTCATCAGGTATTTTCTGTACTGGATGAAAAAGTTCTAAAAAGTGGGAACTCTACTATTTGGTAAGCTGCAATATTTGACATTTCTGTTTTCTGTTTAGACATGCTTTAAACCTAATAAACCTTATTTTTATTCTGGCCACTAGAGTCATTACTGAGAGATTCAATGATGCACCTCTTGCCTTTGTGATATAATGCCAATTGACTAGGCCACCCTTTTAACCTGGGTACCCAAGCACCCTGGGGTGCCTTCAGGCTCCATCAGGGATTCCTTGGCAGTATCCTTAAAAAGTGCCCAAAAATTGTATACAAGCCAGCAGGTGAATCAAGCCTGCCTTTTACTTCACAAAGCCACAGGTTTTCATTGTGCACTTTTATGACCTTCTAGCTTCCGGATTCCTAACAACCAATTACATAATCAGTTTATAAGGAGGACATTAGGTGCCTCCACAACATCCTTATTTACCCCTCCCTGCCCCTCTCTGTTAGCACTGGGGTCGCATTAGCTGAGTGATAGACAGAAACTGATCAAGAAACACTGAAATACTAGTCAGTTCTATTGTGTGCAAAGGTATATTTGGAAGAAAAAAATCACCTCTAACATTGGGTGTACTATGTGTGTGGATGTTGCTGTGTTATGTAAAACTGTTAGTTTAGTTTTTTTATGTTTTAGAACGGGGTGCCTCGAGATTGTCCATAATTTTAAAGGTTGCCTTCACTGAAAAAAGGTTGAGATACACACTGGACTAGGCTGACTCAAGACTCCTCTAAAACCGAAACTAACCATGAATCGACTTCCTAAATCCACAGATAGACATTGGGCGAATATGTACTGTATCTTTTTCTAAAAAGAGATGTCACTTTACTTGCAGCTTTCTTAGTACAGATGAGCACACCAGAGAGGAAGCAGCACACACTTTCTGCTCCTTGGGTGACCTCCAATCACTCTGTGGGGTTCATTTCTAAGGGCACTGGGGCTTTCTTGCCCCTGTATGACATACTGTAACTGTACAATTAAGTGTTTACAACTACAAATTAGTTTAACCACTTACCTACTGGGCACTGTCACCCCCTTCCTGCCCAGGCCAATTTTCAGCTTTCAGCACTGTTTCACTTTGAATGACAATTGTGTGGTCATGCAACACTGTACCCATATGAAATTTTTATAATTTTTTTTTTTACACAAATACAGCTTTCTTTTGGTGGTATTTAATTGCCACTGGGTGTTTTGTTTTTTGTTCTATAAACAAACAAAAAAAGCAAAACATTTTAAAATAAAAGTTTTTCTTTGTTTCTATTATAAAATTTAGCAAACAGGTAATTTTTCTCCGTCCCTGATGTGCGTTGATGAGGCTGCACTGATAGGAAGCACTGATGGGCACTGATAGGCATCACTAATGGGCACTGATAGGCAGCACTGATAGGCGGCACTGATGAGGTGGCACGGATAGGCAGCACTGATAGGAGGCACTGATAAGCGGCACTGATGAGCTGGCAGTGATGATGCTGCACTGATGGGCACTGATGAGCACTGATGGGCACAGGTGGATGGCACTGCTAGGTAATGCTGGGCACAGGTGGGTGGCACTGCAGAGCACAGGTTGGTGGCACTGCTGGGCACAGGTGGGTGGCACTGCAGGGCACAGGTGGGTGGCACTGATGGGCAAAGGTGGGTGGCACAGGTGGGCAGCACTGCTGGGCACTGATAATTATAGCAGTGATCATCAGTGCCCTGATGATCAGTGCCGATCACTTCTCTGACAATTGCCAGTTATCGGCAGTACTTTCCTCACACTGTGCAGCCAATAACCGGCAACTGTATTTACCTGATGATCTGCTGTGTCATTGGACACAGCTGATCACGTGGTAAAAGGCCACAGTGATTGGCCTTTTACCGTATAACGTGATCAGCTGTGTCTGTAGGACACAGCAACCACTGGTGGCAGCGCTGGGGGAGTGCAGGGGGTGTGTTCTGGAATGACATCCATGGACTAGACAGCCGTGCTGTAGCCATCCTTCAGCTATAGTGCGCTAGGGAAGAAGTTAAGGTGCATTTAAGGTGTCATTTTCATTTTTCTTATCTTTATTGTCTATTTTTATGGTATAACACTTTTAAACATACAGTAGATTCAAGTGTTATTAAACCAAGACTACAGATGTAAGCTTTCTGGAAATTTTGAAGCCATGAAAATGGCCTCAAAAATGTTTTTTCCATTTTTTTTCCTGAATTTTTTTTTTTTGTAAATTCAACGTTGAGTAGTTTTACAAATTGAATGTAATGTAATTTTGTTACACTTGGAATGTAAAATGCAGTGTATATAAGAATATTATATTTAAATATAAGTACAGCCTATTCAGTAAATAAACTAAACTGTTAGAACTTTTTTTAAATGAACTAAAAGCTTTTCACATTTTTTTTTTATTACAAATGGATTAACAGGGACTGTATATTTTCAGAATGTTTCAACTATTAATGGGAACAAGTAACCACTCCCCTTTCTCTCAAAAGCAACAAAAAAAGCAAGAAACCATCTTCATAAAAAAAAATCAAACTTGCCCCTTAGCACCTCTGGCATGCCAAGATGTGTTTGCCATCCATGAAATATTTGGAAAAGAATATTTCTCACAATATTTGCAAATTACAGCTTTGCTCTCAGCATAAATTTCGTTGTGGAAATGTTTCTAAACTCTAGATGGTGGTCTTACCCTTTTGCTGAGAGAGGGAAAAGAAAACCAATGTACTGACCAGACTATAAGTAAACGTTATGCTGTAATGGTGGAGGACATTAATAGGAATCATTTAAAGGTTATAAAGATAAATGAATTTACAGCCAAATTTATCTTCCTACCTGTCAATTAAGGCCTGAGAGGAGGACAGAAACTATCATCTACTGCATCCCAACAGTTACTCAACTGTAAAAGGTATAAGATGGAGCCCACAAGCAAACTAAATTGAAGCCTTTCCCCTGCGGTGCCCCCTAGTAGAAGTGTATATTTGTCTTGTTTGAGAACTGCATTGAGAAGAACAGTTTTACTTGAATTGTATCCCAGGATTTGCTTGTCTTCAGCCGAGAGAACTTACAATTTAAGACTTTACATAAAGTCTCAGAAATCTTTCATTAAGGTCTTCATGTTATATAGTTTGAATACCATATCATAAATATATTATTGTAAAAGAACATTTTCCACACGCTTTTATTTTTATTTTTCATATTTTTTATTTTATAACAAAACCCCAAAAAACAGCTTTGGAAAAAAAATTTTAAATTGTTTTTTTCCAGGCATTCCCATCTCTGACCCAAACAATGAGAAACTCGAATTACATGCTATGTAACAGAGTGTGCATACTCACAAAGCCACTAAAGCATTCATTTTGTGTAGAGTGAAATATTCCTGGTTGATCCTGCCTTTAACTGTCCCTCCCATCTTCTCTGTGTCCCCACAGTAGCCTGGTGTACACCAGTTGTTGTCACCTACTGAGCATGCTCCAGTTTCAGTTCCCTTCTAAGCTTTTCATTTCCTCTATTTTCTTATCTGTGCAGGCCACATGACTATAGAATCACTCATGTGGGTGTATACAGAATGGTAAATGACACTCTCCTCCCTCCCTCCCTCCCTCCTTCATTTCCTCCTATTGCTAAACACAGTTAGGGTGGGATATAGTATGCTCATTGATTACATTCACTAAGAAATTCCCAAAAAAATCTTAGTTTTAATATAAATAAGTATTGGATGCAGATACTGTTTGAACAAAATGAAAGCTAGTGTCAACCATCTTTGATCTTGCCTACACCATATAAGTGTACAAATAATATACATTTGATGTTCAATAAAGGTTTACATGGAGCTGTAAAACAGTCTTTTGATATTGATATTAATTTTTTATTGCATTTCTGAAACTGTTTTTTTTTTTTTTATGTGGTTGGCACAGTACCAATCAGGGCTGTGCAGGCACAGACTCATACTGTAGCAATTGAAAGACAGTGGCATGATATATTTGATTTATGTGAATGAATTGTGGTCAATAACACTTCACTCTTTAGTATCACTTTAACTAATCTGGGGAAGTATGGTTAAATCACATTTAAGTCAATATAATAATACTTTATTGCATTTGGTTTTATTGTATATTATTAGGTGTTCCATGAAGGCAGAATGTGTGGAAAATTGGATTGATAAATCCGAGGAATATGGAAAATGTTTGGGAATCCATGTTATTTCTGTGAATGAGAGCCAGGTATTCCTTTCAATGACATGCTGCTTATGTGATACACTTTCACTTACTATATATATGACAAGCGTAGAAAGAAACTATTATAAGCTAAACTCTAGGCAGATATAAAAGACACAAATTTATGCAGCTCTGTAGTCATGAATATATCATTAAATGTATATTTTTAAATGCAGGTAGCATAAATACCTGAATTTGACCTGGAAACAGTGTCTTGCAGTTCTTGTACAGCAGGGCTGGAGCGTGACATAAAAAAGCATGTTAAAATTGTTCTGCTTCTCCTTTCACTGTCTAGTCACAGGCTGGGGTGGGTCCAAGATGGCCCAGGCTCACAGGAAGTGGGTAAACTATGTTGGCTATCAGGCTGGCAGCGGGTAATCAAAATTTACAAGTGTATAAATATATTTTTTTGTACTTCTAAATATCTTTACAAAATATTTGCCTGATCATGTGACCACTGATTCTAATCATTACTATAGACCAGGATAGGTCTCTGACAGCTTGGTCTCTGTGCTGGAAGTGCACAGTGGACACGATCTCAGCACAAAAATGTCATCTCATAACATATGTGGGTGGCAAGAAGTTAAAGATGATTGTCACTATTCTAATAACTGCACTGTCATCAAGACAAAAAGAAAGGAGAAACCTATCAGAAATACAATTGCAATTAAAACATTTTATTAGTGGGGTCGAGGAAGGTTAGAACCTTTATTAGCCTTTTATTTTAGTTTATGCCCCCATTGGATATTTCCTCTTTCCGTCATAATAATTACACTGACACCAGAACAGAAGTGAAAGCTTGCCAATGTTACGCAGGGGTGAAATATTCATTTCTGACTCTTGTTAGAAAATGACATCTGGAAAGTGATTATGAAAAGTACAAACAGTATATGTGGGCCAGTTTTTATGTGATCCATTCCAAATGTATTATTTCTGAATTTGGGATTCAAATGACTTCAAATCCTTTATGGCAGAATTTGTTTCTAAGTAAAGCTTTATGTTTATTTCTGATTCATACAGATCGAAATAAGTCTCAAGAAAAATCCTTCATTATTTGATAGAAAGAGTTCTTGGAGCTGTGAATTTCAAAAAAAAAACACTGGGGAAGTTCTTTGTAAAGGAACAGCTAACCAACAGTCCTTGGATTGCTTCTGTGTATTTTCAACTGTCAAGTCATCTGATGGAGGTATACCTTTTATTTATACTCTGATACAATGTTTTGTTAATATCAGACATATATAATATAAACGAATGTCTTAATTGTTAAAGAATACCAATAAAGAATATGTAAACCCAACCTTTTCATGTTCCTGATATGTGCTTGCTAAACCATGTACTTGTATGAAAAAATACCCTGTTCCCTTTGTATTGCTTCCTTTGTGTGAAATACCCGGTGTTCCCACTATCCTCTCTGCTTTTAATGCTATTGAAAACTGAGAACACTAAGCATGAGAGCACAGTGTGGTCAGTTTTCTGACTATGCTGGGAACTCAGCCTGCTCTCCTCCAATGCTGACACCCCCTCCCCGCACAGCTATTCACTGGGAAGATCTGTGTGCTGCTGTTTTTTCTCCCCCTGTCTGAGCTCCTTATGCAGCCGAGAAGAGAGGGTATATGATCAGGTATGTGTGTGTGTGTTTTTATATACCTAGGACGCAAAATAGTCTAACAACGGCCCTGCATACATAGAGGTCATCTATATCAAATTATATCATGAGATCATCTATATACCAAAATATAACATGAGATAAAAAAGAAGTCCCTGCAGTAATTTTGTTGTTTGGTATAACTTAACTGCGAAAGAGGGAATGTTTACACTGATGAAATCCTGGAAATAAATGGGTTTTTTTTTAATTTAAACATGTGGATATAAAAATTTGTCAATGATATTAAAATAAATTTGGAATGTGTACATATATGTCTGCATAGTTATATGAGAAATAAGCTTAACCACATGCCCTCAAGAAGATTTCCCCCCCTTCATGACCAGGCCATTTTTTGCTGTTCGGCACTGCACTATTTCAACTGGCAATTGTGCGGTTGTTCAATGCTGTATCCAAACAAAATGTATGTCCTTTTTTCACACAAATAGAGCTTTCTTTTAGTGGTATTTGATCACCTCTGTGATTTTTTTGCTCTATAAACAAAAAAAGACCAAAGATTAAAACAAAACAAACATATTTTTCATTTTCGGTTATAAAAAATATTCAATAAACTCAAATTTACTAATACATTTAGGCCAAAATGTATTCTGCTACATGTCTTTAGTAAAAAAAATCCCAATATACATGTATATTAATTGGTTTATGTGAAAGTTATAGCGTCTACAAACTATGGTATGTATTTTAATTTACACAGCTTTTATTTTCTGACTGCCTATCACAATAAGGAAAAGGTGCTAAAATGCCAGGGCAGTACAACCCCCCCCCCCCCCCCAAATGACCCCTATTTGGAAAATAGACACCCGAAGGATTTTTACAGAGAGGCATGTTGAGTCCATGGAACATTTTATTTTTTGCCACAAATTTTTGGAAAATTCTCCTTTCTTTAAATGATATATTGCTCATGCATGCCATGGGTATATGTGAAATAACACCCCATTCTTCTACTTCTCCCGAGTATGGGGATACCACATGTGAGAGAATTTTTAGCAGCCTAGCTACATACAGTCCCCCTAAATCCAATGACAACTTCCAGGATTTCAAAGGGCATATTTCCTCATATCACTTCTTCACTACCTATCACAGTTTCAGAGGTCCTACAATGCCAGGATAGTGCAAACACCCCCCTCCAAATGACCCCTTTTTGGAAAGTAGACACCCCAAGGAATTTGATAAGAGGCATGGTGAGTATTTTTCGGATATCATTTTTTTGTCGCATGATTTTGAAAAAAGGAAAGAAAAAATACATTTTTGTTTTCTTTCTACGTTTTCCAAAAACATGTCTACTTTCCAAAAAAGGGTCATTTGGAGGGGTTGCTTCTACTATCCTGGCATTTCAGGGCCAACAATAAAAGCGTATGCCACACAACACCCGCTCTTGAAGACCAAGCCTTTTCTTATACTTTTTGTTCACATGAAAAAACAGGGTTTTTTTTGCTAGAAAATTACTATGAACACCCAAACATTATATATTATATATAAAATGGTGGTTGTTGAAAATTGTTACGTCGCACAGTATTTGTGCAGTGATTTTTCAAACGCAGATCTTTTGTAGAAAATATACTCTTTAGAATTTTAATGCACAAAATCACAATATATCGCCCAATTGTTTGATAAAATATAACAGATGATACACCGAGTAAATGGATACCAAACATGACATGCTTTAAAATTGCACATGCCTGTTCAATGGTGACAAAGTACATACATTTTTAATATCGATAGGCGACACTTTAAAAGCCTTTACAGGTCACCAATTTATATTTACACAGGAGATCTAGTGCTAGAATGACTGCCCTCCATCTGCCATTCACAGTGATACCTCACATGGTGCAATCTCTGTTGGCATACCAACACGGGACCAACACTTGCATCCGCCTTTACGCATGAGCATGGGTAGGGGGGAGGGGCAGAGGTGATTTTTTTTTTTTTAACACTGTCCCTTTCTTTTTTTTTATCATCTTTATTGTTATCACAGGGAATTTAAATATCCCCTGTGATAGCAATAGGCAGTGACAGCTACTCTTTTCTGAGAAATCTGTATTCTATTAGACTCTAGATATCTCCTCTGCCCTTACATCATCTGATCTCACCAACATTGGTGTGATCAGATGTTTTCCCAATTTAAAAGTGGCGCTGTTAAAGTCTGGCTAAATGGAAATGATGAAATGCTGGTAGCTTCTGGTCTCTTAGATCATAGAGATGATTGGAGTAATTCTGGTCTCTAATCAGCTCTATCGTCAGCCAGCGGATCTGCCGAATTCCTCTGTGGGAAGGGAGAGCCCAAGAAAACTGTGGAAGGCAGCAGGAGGAGGGGGGGTAATGTCCCTTCCCACTGCTGTAAAAACGATACAGCAGCTAATTGGCCACTAGGATTGCTTTTACATGAAAGCTAACTGCCAGCTGAAAAAAACAATACCAGGATGATGCCTGTAGCTGCAGGCATCATCCCGGTATAACCACTCAAAGTCCAGCAACATACCAGTACATTGCTGGTCCATGTTGGGCATATATGTAACAGCAGAGAACATGGACATATAATGAATCAGTTCTGTATGACCGCAATTCGTTCTTTTTTGTAATGCCCATGTTGAGGGTTAGGCCCAAAAAAGTTTTAAATTCAGAAACCGTGATAGGTTCCCATGCAAATTGTCTGGCAAGAGCTGAATTTGGGTGGGCGGCAATGTATTGTTGTGCATATAAATTGCTTTGGCCCACAATCAATTGGTACAAATCTTCCATGAAAAACAGCAGAGGGGCTAAACGCTAGTGCTGGGCGCCAACAGGGCCAATCCTGCTAACACTGCGTTTTTGGGGACACTATACAAAGCAGGCAGTAGTATAGTTCTGTTCATGCTCATTATATTGATTTGTTCAAACACTATACTAGTAATGGGGATGATAAGTGACCTATGGCTTGCTTGTGATAGTGTACTATACTAGCTGACCTTGGCTGGGAGGGGTGCTAACTGAGCCTGACTTTATCTGATGTTGCTAGTGGCAGTAATACAGTGATCATTGAAAAATTCTATATACTGACACTGTCCTAATAGCACTGGCTGGGTGCAGGGCAATCAAAGGGTTAATAGAGGTGATCAAAGGGTTAAATGTGCTAATCTAACACGTGTGTGTGTAAAATATAGTGCTTTTACTTGGTGCCATATTCCCTCTTCTCTGCCTGGTCCAATGGGGGGGGGGGGGCAGCAGGGGGCGCAGGCGCGTTCACACCACAAAATAGAAAGCAACACAAGATTACATCACTTTGCCCAGAGTGACTGCTCACCCGTAAAATGCGGGTAACCGGTCGGCAAGTAGTTAAAAAAACCCTTAAAATTTTTTTTTTTAAATACTCAATATGAATTTTTTTTTTAAATACTTTTATCAGAATAGTTTAACATTGTACTACTGTGGGGGTGATCAGATATATAAAAGGTAATTTCTCCTGCAATGCAATGCAAAGCTTGCTGTCATGAACCTAATTCATTAATGAACTGTCATGAATGAGTTAGCTTTTTGACAGCTCAAGATAGTGATCTGTGATTGGCTGGAGCTGGTCACATGGTATAGGGTGCTGTGATTGGCCCCCTATATCATGTGACAGCTGTTGGCCAATCACAGCTCACTAGGAAGAGAAGCAGAGCTGTTATGAATCAGATTGATTCATAGCAGCTTTGCTAACATTGTGATCATGTGTTTGCATAGTGATCACATGATCACCGGGATCTTCAGTCCGCTGTGTCCATCGGACATAGCAGTTGCAGGTGGGGAGCGCTGCACGCCCTCTAGCCCCCCTATGTTAGTACAGCCAGAGCGATGTACCCGTACGTCGCTTTGCCTGTAGCTGCACTTGTCCACAGTACATTGCAGGCGGCCGGTAGGGTGGCAGTTAAAACAATGAAGTTCGTATAGTATATTACTGATTGAATGGTTTACAACCTCTTGACCTCCAGGGCATTTTTTGCTATTCAGCACTGTGCTACTTTAACATGCAATTACGTGGTCATGCAGCACTGTACCAAAATTAAATTTATATAATTTTTCACACAAATAGAGCTTTTTTTGGTGGTATTTAATCCACACTGGGTTTTTTATTTGTTATGATATCAACAACAAAATACTGAAAATTTGGAAAAAAAAACAATATTTTCTATATTCTGTTATAAAACCTATCCAATAAAAAATTTAATTTCTTCATAAATATAGGCCAAAATGTATTCTGTTACGTCTTTGGTAAAAAAATACAAATAAGTGTATATTAATTGGTTTGTGTAATAGTAAGCATCAACTATGGCCAACTATGGTATACTGTATATACTAGAACTTATGCAGCTATGATGCTATACTGGTAATGGTGGTGATCAGTGACTTATAGTGGGACTGTGAAAGTGTGACAAGCATTTTGGCGCTAACTGACACTGGCTGAAAAGCGCACTTTCTGACTAACTGACTCTGACATCAATAGAGACACTATTAGAGTGATCAGTGCTGATACTGGACAATGTCACTGTACTAATGACACTGGCTGAAAAGGGATTAATATCTAGGAGCAATCAAAGGGTTATCTGTGTGCCTAACAATGTGTAATATGAGTAATGTTTGCTGCTTTTACTAGTAGATCTGGCTGTTTTTTCTCTCTGCTTTGCAGGGAGAAGAAACAGCCAGATTGCTGCTCTGTGTAGAGAGCCTTGTGTTTGTAAACACAGGAATCTGTGCTGTGATTTGATACAGGCGATCAGTAGGTCTTAGCTATAAATCATTGGCAGGGATCTGCTGACTGGTGTCCAGCCATACACGCACCCCAGACCCAGAAGCAAGCTTTCAACGTTTATTTACGTTGCTGAGCCTGCAGCTGGAAAACAAATACTCCATGTCTGGCCTGGAGCACCACAAGAATAATACTTTTGTGGCACTGCTGTCTAATACAAATATGGGGTTATTTACTAAAGAGTACAAAATCTGGTGCAGCTCTGCATAGTATTTAATCAGCTTCTAGTTTTTATTGTCAAAGTTTAACTGAACAAGCTGAACATAGAAGCTGATTGGCTACCATGTACAGGTGCCCCAGATTCTGAGTGCATCAGTTTTAGTAAATCTACTCCATAGAATCAAGAAATCAAAGATGATCCAATATTTTTACTGTTAATCAACCAACAGCAATAAACAAACATAACATATAGCTCTGAGGCAATGGCATAACAATGGCCATAGCAGCCCATTTGGCTGCGGTAGGGCCTGGAAGTGGAAGGGGGTCCCATTAGGATTGTAAGCTTGAAAGAGCAGGGCCCTTGACCCCCTCGTGTTTTGTTTTGTTACTGTATGTCTCATGTTCTGTCCCCCACTATAATGTACAGCGCTGGGCAAACCTTTTAGCGCTATATAAATACTGTATAATAATAATTAGGATGGCTGTCAAGGCAATTTAAATACAGAAAATCTGTATGCATGTGACTATAACACATATCCATCACTGTATTATTGTGTTACTAAACCTTGCATTCAATATGTCATATGAACATAGAAATGCAATTATTTTAGTAAATACAAACCGCTAAATACCTTTTCTCATCAGCAGTCTTATGACTTCTATCAGTGTCCAGCAGAGCACTGGTTTAGGCTTGTAGGAGGAGTTTTCCCCTGATTGTCCTACGAGACTGCACACCCTCTGACCCTCTGTCTAGACAGTGCTGATTGACTCTGTGCTGGTCACATCCATTCTCCCAAAGAAAAAAAACTCTCTAGCAATGCACACCAAACTGAGTGTGTGCAGCTTGCCCCCAAGGCTCTGTTCTATCAGTCGATGGATTGGGGTCAATAGAAGAAAGGGAGTATCAGAGAAGTCAGGATCAAACAGCCTCTTTACACAATGCAGATGATTAACCCCTTAGGTTCCCCAGTGAGTATAACAAGCATGCTTTACTGCATATACAGACTGTTTTCACTGTTGTGGGTTTAGTAACACTTTCAGAGTTAGAGAGGTTGTTATAGCCACAGATCCCCTTTGAAGGCTGTGCAATAAGGAACATTTGTTTCGTTTTCTTAGTAGTAGCAATGTAGACTGTTTGCCCTTAGCTGGTGTTATGCTCCTGCTTTGATGCCAGTCATATAAAAAAATGACTTTTGATGGTCATTGTTGCTCACACTTTTGAGCCGCAAAGAGGACAAGAAAAAAAATGTAACAGTGGCAGTAATTAACACTGCAGAGCTGCTGTGTAAGTAACAATGATGTCTGAGAATGCACACTCTGAAAGCATTGTGATTAGTGGCATGGGCCCTGACCAACCCTTCAACATGGATGGGAGGGCATGCAGGGCATGCAAGGCTTGGTCAATGAATAGGCAGAATTGGGGGGGAGCTGCCTTAAATGCTTCAAGAGTGATGCAAAATGGCTGGATCCACAATCTGTGGATACTAACACTGATTTAAAAACAGAATACCATATATCTTTGCTAATTATTTCAAGGATTTGCCATGATACACTTTAAAGAACTTGTCACAGAGAGGCAGAAAAAGTGCTTAGGAAAAAAAAAGAGAGCTTTTTTGTCAAAAAACTGCAACGTATTTAATATTGTTACTTTATTCTGCCTTTCAGATGTAATGACTGCCAAAGCAGAAAGCACAAATATAGAGATATTAGAAGATTTCCAGTTTAGAAACTGCTCTCAATATACAGAGTCCAGGTAAATATTTAATCCATGACTACGTGCTTTTCTTCAATTATAACTAAAGTTAACATTTATGTTTTTAGATAGAATGGAGATGGATTAGAACCCCTGTCATGTTTTATTGCTGTCTGTGTCCCCATTAGGGAGATTCACCTTTTCTATTTGTTCTATTTACCATTATCATCAAAAGTGAATGTAAAAGAAACTCCAAATTTTGGGTTGTTCCCAGAAAAGGAATTTCCCTTAATTTGCAGGGATTTTTTTTTACTTCCTGTTTTGGCTATGGGACAGAAAGTAAAGGTAAATCTCCCCAATGGGACACAGATGGCTAAAAAGAAATTGACAGGGGATATAACCCTCCCATACACTATGCAAAATGAAAAAAAAGCTTTGCCTATAGCTGTATTTTCACACATTGTTACTATAACACAGTGATCTCCCAACTGCGGTCCTTTGCTTCCTTGTATCCAGCCCTTGGGGCATTATTCCTCCCCACATCAGCAACAGTGAGGCATAGTTCCCGCCTCTGACACTAATAATGGGGCACTATTCCTTTCACTAAGACCAATAATGGGGCATTATTCCTCCCACTGGCACCAATGATGGGGCATTATTCCTCCCACTGATGGCAAAAATTGGACACTATTCCTCCACACTGACACCAACAATGGGAAGCTATTCCTCCGATTGATACCAGTGATGGGGCACTATATCTCTCGTTAATACCAATGATGAGGCATTGTTTACTCCCACTGATGCCAGGACATTTTATTCTCCCACTGGCCACAGTCTGACCCCCCTAAAGTCTGAAACACAGTAAACCGGCCCTCCGTTTATAAAGTTTGGAGACCCCTGCTATAACACATGCTGGGACAAACTTTATTGCTTTGTAGCTTAGTCACAATACCTTTTTCTTTTTTTATTATTATTTTTTAAATCCTTTATTATGTTGCATGCATTATTTTATACATAATATTACTTTAGTTTGCTACCTGTCATGGATGTCATGGTAACATCTCATGATTTGCTTACTGCCAGTAACCAGGCACATAGAAGACAAGGCATTTTGTCTTGTCCATGTGGTGGGACTGCGCTGGAATAGCCACCCAACGCAGTCCCAGCGCATCTAGTGTGAATATAGCGTAAAAAATGCTCTTAACAAGCTACATCCTATTTTCAGCTCTTTAATGTAGACAGAAACTCTTGAATGTTAAAGTACATGTCAACCCAAATGTATAACATTTAGTTTGCTAAAGCACTGTTTTGGAATACACAATTAGCATGTTTTTTTCCTTATAAAATACTGCTTTAATTTTTTACATGCTTTGTTGCATGCACTGCCAACTTCCGGCATCCTCTCTGCAGCCACTATATGCACACACGCCAGCAACTGCTGATGTTATTTCTCAGGATGGGTTTCCTGACAACAGCAGACCATGCATGGGTTTGTAGTCTCCATTGAGAGAGTGTGTGACAGGGCAGGAGAACAGTTAGAAGACAGGGACAGAGCATTGTCACCCTATAACAGGAAGTGCCTGGACAAGTACATCCATGGCAGGATCATCGGGTACTGTTTTAATGAAAGTTATAGATTTAAAGCTGAGCTCTGGGCATACAAAAATTTAAATAAACTCTTCAATAACCATAAAAGATAAATCCACTTTGTGTACACCAAACACCTTTGCACAGCTAGTTATTACATTGTATATAGCAGTGACATCATCACTGTAGTGCACATAGGCTGTGAGAAGAGCAAAGCTGTGGGAGAGACCCAGGAGGTCCACCCACTACAGTGCTTTGAAAAAGTATTCATACCCCTTGAAATATTCCACATTTTGTCATGTTACAACCAAAAACTTAAATGTATTTTATTGGGATTTCATGTGATAGAGCAACAGAAAGTGGCACATAATCGTGAATTGGAAGGAACATGATAAATGGTTTTCAACATTTTTTACAAATGAATCTATGAAAAGTGTGGCGTTCATTTGTATTCAGCCCCCCTGAGTCAATACTTTGTAGAAACACCTTTCACTGCAATTACAGCTGCAAGTCTTTTTGGGGATGTCTCTACCAGCTTTGCACATCTACAGAGTGACATTTTTGCCTATTCTTTGCAAAATAGCTCAAGCTCTGTCAGATGGGATGGAGAGCATCTGAGCAGCAATTTTCAAGTCTTGCCACAGATTCTCAATTGGATTTAGGTCTGGACTTTGACTGGGCCATTCTAACACATGAATATGCTTTGATCTAAACCATTCCATTGTAGCTCTGGCTGTATGTTTAGGGTCGTTGTCCTGCTGGAAGGTGAATCTCTGCCCCAGTCTCAAGTCTTTTGCAGACTCGAACAGGTTTTCTTCTAAGATTGCCCTGTATTTGGCTCTATCCATCTTCCCATCAACTCTGACCAGCTTCCCTGTCCCTGCTGAAGAAAAGCATCCCATCAACATGATGCTGCCACCACCATGTTTCACGGTGGGGATGGTGTGTTCAGGGTGATGTGCAGTGTTAGTTTTCTGCCACACATAGCGTTTTGCTTTTTGACAAAAAGTTACATTTTAGTCTCATCTGACCAGAGCACCTTCTTCCACATGTTTGCTGTGTCCCCCACATGGCTTCTCACAAAGTACAAACAGGACTTATGGCTTTTTTTTCAATAATGGCTTTCTTCTTGCCAATCTTCCATAAAGGCCAGATTTGTGGAGTGCACGACTAATAGTTACCATGGGCCTCTTGGCTGCTTCTCTGATTAATGCTCTCCTTGCCTGGCCTGTCAGTTTAAGTGGATGGCCATGTCTTGGTAGGTTTGCAGTTGTGCCATACTCTTTCCATTTTCAGATGATGGATTGAACAGTACTCTGTGAGATGTTCAAAGGTTAGGATATTTTTTTATAACCTAACCCTGCTATAAAGCCTGCACAGCTTTATCCCTGACCTGTCTGTTGTGTTCCTTGGCCTTCATGATTGTTCACTAATGTTCTCTAACAAACCTCTGAGGGCTTCACAGAACAGCTGTATTTATGCTGAGTTTAAATTACACACAGGTGTCACAAAAGGCCTTTGGTGGGTGAGTGTTAGTCTTCCTTTGGTAATGCTTCATGTGATGCTGAGCCTTCATGATTGAATTGAATACATGAAAGAAAAGGGTGGACCAGTGACAGGCTAGGGAGGAAAGAGCTAGATGGTGCTTGATGTCCTCCGGCCAGGAAATGAGGCATGCTCTGATGAATGCACATCGTGGGAAGTCCACAGTGTGCAGTGAAATCAGAGTATGCAATTTTGGTACAGGAAAGATGTTTGTACATCTGAGCAAGACTTGAATGTGTGAAATTTGTACGCTGTTTGCATATTTCCTCCATCTTAGTATTTATAAATAGTCTTTAAGGTACTAGAACAATAATGAAATATTTTTCTATTACAGTTGCTTGGAGTGTATATCAAATGGATGCCTATTTTGTACTAGGGAATCTGAATGTAGGTCTCCACTGACTCCCTGTGCTGATACAGCAGATGAGGTAAATATAATGACTGTTATGTACATGTCTCATGTATATCATTGTAAAAGAGGTGCCCTCCAGAAGATTTACCCCCCTTCCTGGCCAGGCCATTTTTTGCATTCACGCGCTGCGTTACTTTAACTGACAATTGCGCAGTCATGCAACGCTGCACCCAAATTAAATGTAAGTGCTTTTTCCCCACAAATAGAGCTTTCTTTCGGTGGTATTTGATCGCCTGTGTGTTTTTTTTATTTTTTGCGCTATAAAAAAAGGCCGACAATTTTGAGAAAAAAACACAATATTTTTGACTTTTTGTTATTAAACATGTCCAGTAAAAAAAATTAAAAAATCAACGTTTGGCATAAATGTATGCCAAAATGTATTCTGCTACATGTCTTTCCTAAAACAAAATCCTAATACATGTAAATTAATTGGTTTATGTGAAAGTTATAGTGTTTACAAATGGTGGTATATATACTGGGATTTTTTATTTTTTATTTTTACTAGTAATGGTGCCGATCAGTGACTTACAGTGGGACTGTGAGACTGCGGCAGGCATTATGACACTGGAGGGAACTGACTTGGTGTCACTGACATCCCCAATGACACCTATACAGTGATCAGTGCTAATTAAAAGAACTGACATTGTACTAATGGCACTGGGCAGGAAGGGATTAGCATGTGGGGCGATCAAAGGGTTAACTGTGTGCTGTTTTATTGTGTGCTGTGTGCTGTTTTATTGTGTGCTGTGTGTGTGCTTCACTGTAAGCACACTGTGCCGGAGCTGATAGGGGAGAGAACTGTTTTGTTTACTAACAGTTCCCTCCTCCCATCGGAGATGCTCGGCAATCACTGGGCGCTAGCGAGTAATAACCTGTGATTGACAGCCGCGGCCGCAAATGGCGGCATTGGGTAGGGCACGCACCCACCCTCCTACCCGGAGATGAGAAATCACGTGTGTGTGTATATATATATATATATATATATATATATATATATATATATATTTGTGATTTTACACACCCGCACCGCCCTGTAGCACAGTACTTCTGTTAACCCTTCCAGCTTGTAAACAAACCTCCGGCTACTATAGCAGTTTGTTTACATGTTTTCTCTCTGTTTTCTATAGTTGACAACCTATTTGACTGATATGCCAGCCATGGCCACTGGATTGGTGCTGGGAGGGAGATTGAGGGGATTTGTGCTAGAAGGGGCAATTGGAGGGGAATTTGTGCAAGGAGAGGAGATTGGGGGGATTTGTGTTAGGAGAGTGGATGGGAGGATTTGTGTTAGGAGAGTGGATGGGTGGATTTCTGTTGGGGGGGGAATTGTGTTAAGAGGGGGGATTGGGAGGGTTTGTGCTAGGAGGAGAGATTTGTTGTCTCTGGTTGCCCTAGTCACTATGACAAGCCTCCTGCCAGGGGATTGGCCAAGGTCCCTCAAACATGCAGATCTGGGCCTTCTCCCCTCCTTCACCCCTGTTCCAGAAAGTTCTTACGTTTCTGTAAAGGTGGGAGGGCTCCAGAAGCCCTGACCTGTAGAACCTCCCAGCCTGTTCTGAGGTGAACTCACTGCCTCACTCCCTGTTTTGGCACTTATTCCCTTGGTTCTGTCTAAGATTATAAATGTAACTAGAAAAGCTATACAATGTCTGGGGAAATTGTGTGAAGTGTTCTTGCCTCCACCAGTAGTCTAGGGCTTGAAAATGAGGGAGTGGTGGCAGTTTAGAAATCATGTCCTGATTTTTCAGCTCACACTCTAGCTTTTGTCACTCTGCTGCCTGCTCACACACCTGGGTTCCTATGGCAACTCACTCTACAGCAAGGGCAGAGAAGAGCGGTTAAAAACAAACTGCTCCAACTTTCTCACTTCACTGGCGTATTCAAATGGTTGTAGCTTAAAAATTATACATCATACACTGAAGAGCTTTATATTGTGAGAATCACAAGACCCAGACCTACATTTTGATGCATAGTATGTCTCTGAAATATTAAAAATGAAGGCACAGTCGCAGTTTAGAAATTGCCCTTCAAATTTGAGGTGGCTAGAGTGGAGTTTCAATGAATGTCAATGGGCGGCATGAGTTGCAAACAAATGGTCATATTGTGAAAACTATCAGGACTATGGCTTAGCTGTCATTTTTAGTGGCAGCAGGGATAGCTGAACGTTTTGATATAAGATTTGTGTAGGTGGGCTTGAAAATGAGGGAGTGATGGCAGTTTAGAAATCATGTCCTGATTTTTCAGCTCACATCATGAACATCATCGCACCAAACGTATACTAAGTATTAAGAACGTTGTGATTACACTAGTTACTACTAATATAGGACCATGACTGTCAGTCCCCACTCTGTGCTGTGCCCCTCCAGCACTCACTGGAATGCCCAGATTGGGAGATGGTAGGAGCAGCTGCCTCTCAAAATTGCGCTGAGAAGCTGAGCCGAGCGCCAATCAGGCATATGGGTGGATCCCAACATTATTGTCAGTATGGTTCCAGAGTCTGGACCGGTTGGTGACGTCAATCAAGATCAGGCTTTAGCCCACTGTCTGCTAATTCTGGGGCACATGAGAGTAAATGCACTCATGTAGCACACAAGAAAACGAATGTAAAAAAAACGTTTCTTGACACGTTTCACCACTCCTGGCTTGCTCACAAGAGTAGAGTGCAGCTAATTTTTTTCCCAAGTTTTTCTTTGGCCATACTTGTGCATCACATGAGTGCATTTACTTGTCTTGAGCTGTAGATTTGGGTATGTTTTTGTCAAGAAAAGCTTTGGCCATACTTCTTTTTTAACCCCTTCACGCTGGAGCCTCTCGACTCTTTAAGAGTTTCAAAAGCCGGGACGGACGGGGCGGGGTTTAGAGATCATGTGACAGCCATGACGCATCATCACGGTGGTCACTTGATCAGGAAAGGTCCCGATCGAAAGAGGAGACCGGGACCTTTCCGTGAGTATCAGCACATTTTTTTTTTTAATTGACCGCAAATGTGTAGCCGCTTGGCGTCTAGGCCCAGACACCGAGAGGATGCACATTTGTGTGCAGCTGGCGTGAAGAGGTTAAGGTAGTATTAAATCCTTAGTGTTTTTAGTGTAAAACAGTTGTCTCCCAACTGCGGCCTGGGGGCCAGATATGGCCCTATGCTTGCTTTTATATGGTCCTTGTGGCACAATTTCATCAACTGATACCAACAATGGGGCATAGTTCCCCCCCACAGACACCAATGAAGTGGCACAATTCCTCCCAATGACACCCATGATGGAGCACAATTCCTCCCAGTGACACCAACAATTGCTCCCAATGACACCAATGATGGGGAACAATCCCTTCCATTGACACCAACAATTGGGCTGAATGACACCAATGATGGGGCATATGCCCCCTCCCCATGACACCAATGATTGGGCACAATTTCGCCCTCTCACACCAATAATGGAGCTCTTCCTCCCACTGCCAAGAAGGATGGGGCATTATTTTTTCCCACTGACGTTGGGACCTTTACTACTCCCAATGGCCACAGTCTGGCCCCCCCATAAAGTCTGAAGTTCTAAAACACTGAACACAATAATTCTTAACTAGGCACTTTCAGTTTACCACTTTCATTGCTGCTGACTTATGCTGTCGGGCTGCTTTCCTGAACTGCTGGTCCTCACAGGAAAGAGTTACTAGTGGACAGTGCCGTCTCGAGCCAGTCTATTAGCTTGGATAAGGGGGGAGGAATTACGAGCAGTGGAGTCTCTTGCCATCCTAGGTTATGGGGCTTTGTGTTTCTATTAATGGATACAGTGTAAGGAGATACAACTCTAGTCCCTGCATGTAAGGACGGCTCCATCCTGAAACAGGAAACCTGGGGCAATAGTTATTGCGCCAAATTAAATTGGAACCATGTCTACTTTTGGCAGGTTTTCTGTCATCTCACCAAGGTTTTCCAAAATTCTATAACATGAATGAGTCAAGGCTTCAGAAAGTTGTAAGAACAAACTGCAGGGCTCCTAAGAAAGTAATCGTCACTGCTAAAGAATGTTAATGTCAATGCATTATACATGTTAATACATTTATTTGCAAGGATCTGATCTGATTTTTTTTTAACTCCAGACTGAGTGCAAAACCATAGAGAATACGGCAGCCATTGGACCATCATGTAGTGTAAGTTTTTATTACCTTTTTTTTCTCTAATGACTTATAACTTTGCTTAGAAGATCTGAAGTGGAAGACAGTACTGTCAGAGATGATGAAATTGACATACTGTATACAGTAGGTGGCTCATATCTGATCAGATTAATTTTTTCAAAGAATTGTACATGAAGTGTAAAGAATAGGTTCACCTATCTACAAAAAATAATAATTACACATTGTTTTGCAGGCAAAAAAATGTGCATTTATTATTTTTGTAGTAGGAGCCTGTAAAGTATTGCACCAGCAATCAGCAGATCTCTGATGCCATGCAGGTCTCCTGCAGACTGTCAGAGTGTATGCTTGCTTGTACATCCTCTATGGGAAAGCCGAGTCTACTGTCAAGAAGATTCAATGAACTACCATATCGCTTACAGCGCCGTGGCAGTTCATTGAGCCCTACAAACTGACAGCCACTAAGGTTGTCGGTACTTGTAGTCCATAAATTCACAGAAGACTGTAAATGAATGATGCGGCCTTGTGGGCTGTTTTTAAAAAGAAAGTGACAGCTAGTATGGGGAACTTCTCCCCATACTACTGTCAAAGGGAGGGGGGATCGGGCGGCAGCTGCAGGCTTCAGGATCGGGAACATGTTACATGTTCCACCCTAAAAACGGGTTGAACATGTTCCCAAAGGTGAACTTCTCCTTTATGGAACCCATAGGTGTGAGATTGGAGCCATACTGGGTAACCATTCTAATGTTGCTGAGCCCCAGTAGCGGTTGGTCATGTTGGACAATTTAAGCCAATCTCTACTGACTTTCCAATAGATAAGCAGGTGTTTGAACATACTGTATTTCTTCTCCCTGTTCCAAAGCCATGATCTAAGTTATACCCTTAAGTAATTATTTGTTAAAAATATATCTTTTAGAGGTGCATGCTCCAGGCCTGAGCCTCCCATTGAGACTAGATGCAGTTTTAATCCAAGACGTGCAGATCCTCCATAGGACAACATTCCACTAGTTTTATTTCTCACTGGCTGCTGGATTGCCTGCCTCAGTAGAATCTATCCTCATTTCCCTTTTTCCCACACTCCCCCCATTTTCCCCCAATGCTTAGCCTTGTATTCCCTCCTCCCACCCTTTTGCCATGTTCACCTCTTTATTCCCCTCCTTTTTCCTTTTCAGCTCTCCAACATTGGCTCATTTCCCACAAACTGATGGCAGACTAACGTGTTATAACTTCTTGCAGTCAGACATTCCTAGAAAGACCTAGGCATAATTTTGTTCTTGACCAATGTTTTACTCTTTTTTTGGACTGTATTGATTGATAGCGTAGCACCCTCCTAGTTTAGCTAGTGGGATCTAGACTCCAATGGTTAGACACGGGCTGAGCAGCATCCCAGTTGTAATAGCCAGAGAGGGGTCAAATTGTGGTCAGGGCTGAAAGGCTCTACAGGCCAGCCCCTCTGAAATTTCCCCCTACTCTAGGACTTTAGGAGAAAGGAGTGGCTGTTTGCACTTTTGAGGGATCCTAGCCAATCCCCAACAAGAGGTTGGCAAGTGGCTGGACACCCTTAACAGTGTATGAACCTGCTCAGTTGCAGGAGAGTTGGAGGGAGAGGTCGGGTGGAAGATGTGAGGCTGAGAGCTGGAGGTTGCAAGGAGGCCCAGTGGGATGGGGCCTACCTGCAGAACTGGAGCTGGACAGAAGGAAAGCTCACTGTCCTCCTGAGAAAGGACCAGCTGTATGACAGGGAAGGAGCTGCCCAGCTGATAGGCCTGGTAGCTGCCACAAACCCACAAGTGGCACAGGAGAGGATCTGAGTGAGTACACCTGCACCCCCTGGGCAGATAGGGGAAGGAACACTCTGGTGGAAAACCAGATTAGCCACCTACCAGTGTCTGCCTATCTCTTAAAGTGGCAGGAACCAGATCCCCTGTTCAGAGACACTTCCAGATTGCTAGGTGAAGAGGAGAAATTCATTTAGGGTCTGGGGTGGTACACTAAGGAGATGCTGGCTAGCTCTCCAACAGAGACTGTGCTGCAGAGGAGGCTTGTAAATAGCTCCAGGAAGTTGTCCTCAGTTTATCAGTACCATTGAGCATCCTGTACAGCCCTAACCCTATCCCAGTTCAAATCCTCTAAATAAAACAACAAAACCAAAGCTCAAGGACTGATTTCTGACTCTAGGTGCAAGCCTGTCCGAGGATGTGTGATCCCTGGCTGTGCAGGACTATAGGGGGACCCAAATCTTGTAGCAACTCCTAGAGGGGTAGTGTCTAAATAGCATAGACCGCTGCTTCTTGAGCCTAAGCTCACTGTAGCTCCTTAAGGCTCACTATCACTCAGTCCCCAGTTTTTTAGAACACAAATTTTACTTTAAAATGTTATAACTGTTAAATTATATGCTGATATGCAGTGATGTGTGTGCCTCTTGTCTCTGCTCTGAAGCACCTCTGGAAAGGCAGGGACCTCATAGCTTCTCAGCCTTTTCTGTTTCCCAGACATTCTTACTCCTCTTTTGCAAAACGCATATAACGACCTTCGCAAGCGACAATCTTTCTGTCCAGAATCCTGACTACAGGTTAAACCAAAGCATAGGAGACCTCATCCTCCGAGATCAAGTTGACTTTGTGCCCACTAAGCAAGCTAATGACCAGACATTCAAATTCATTCTCCTGGCTGAGGCCTCCAAGAGAAATAAGCTACCACTCATGCTACTCTCACTTGACATGTAGAAATCCTTCAATACTGTATCCTGGCCTTACCGACAGTATTTTACATGTTGGATAAATTAAGCTTTGGCCCCAAATTTCTTCTGTTGATCAGAGCATATAAAACTCTAGTTTAGTGTATGTGAAGTAGAAATGCTATAAATCCCCTCCTTTTCCTATCATACAGTATAAGACAAGGCAGGGTTGCCTGCTGTCCCTTCTCTTGTTTTCTTTATTTATTGATCCATCTGTGCAATTAATTCAGGATTCCTTGGATGTATATGGACTAACAGAAGTTGCCTACCACTACAAATTGAGCCTCTTCTCAGATGACTTTTAATTGACAATAACAAATCCACTTTTCTTGCAATTTGGCTTGCTGTCAGGCCTGCAGGTTAACCCTTAGAAATCCAAGGCTCTGAACATTTAGCTCTCCCCTACTCACCGCCACACCCTCCAACACTCTTTCCAATACCAATGGGAGCACCAACAAATCCCATATGTTACCCTTTTTTAGGCCAATTACCCCACTCTCCTTTGAAAAATCAGTCTTCTCCTACAAAATTGAGCTAATTAAAATCTCCTCTGGCTGGAATGCATAGCAGTGGTAAAAATTACATACCTGCCCAAGTTGTTATACTTGTTTAGGGTTTTACAAATATTAGTACCTGCCCCTATTACGTGCTCAATTCAGGAAAGGGTAATGCATTTTATATTCTAACCGTAAATCAAGAATTTTCAATATCTTGTGTTTCAAACCAGGGCCAAATGGTGAACTGGGTGTCCTGAATTTCTTGAGATATTATAACACTGCATAGATCACTCAACTGACTAAATGCCATGCTAGTCAGGAAACCCCATTATGGGTTGAGTTAGAATCTATTGATTGTATCCCTGGTCCATCCATAACCTGTTGTGGTTACACCCTCGAGATAGGAAAGCACTTCTGAACCCTATCACACAGCACTTAGTGCAGCTTTGAGACAATCTCAAATATACGGGAGGTTTCCTCTCCCCCACTTACCACTACTGTCTATAATTCTCAACCCCTCCTTCCCTTCAGGTTTTAGATCCCTTGGGGTCTTTAAACACTGGACTGCTTCAAGGGTGACTCGATTCCACTCTTTACTGACTCCAAAAGGATTCAAATCCTTTGCTGACCTCCAGAAATCACAGCACTTATCTCATTCCAAGCTATTTCGATATTTACAGGTCAAGCATTTTGTTCTGTCAACTGTGTGCCTCAAAGGGGGCATAATTTAACTCTCACACCTTTCTAATCTAAATGAAAATATGACCCACATTCAACAGGGCTGATCCCCCTCAACTGTACAACACTTTAACCTCCAAACAAACACCAAAAACCTTGAATTTCGTAAGTCAGAAAAAAATCTCCAGATGTCTATAGACCCCAAACACTGGGCCCAAATCTGGACCAGCATTAAAATAATTTTCTTGCAACATGTCTGCTGTTGAAACCAACTACTAAAAAGTTCTAATTTGGAGGTACTTGGTTCCACTGGTTTAGTGCATTTTAACCCTGATTCTTCCATGTACTTTTCCATGGTTGCTTGGATATTGGTTCCTTTATTCATACCTGGAGGACCTGTTCAGTGGTTCAACATTTTTGGTGGCAGGTGCACTGCATTCTGCACACCCTTTTCCAGACAGCACTCCTGCTGAATCCATATGAAGCCCTCTTCAATCAAAAACACAAAGGGGATATCAAAATCTCAGATTATCCTCATGACCCATGTCCTCACTGTCATGAAACAAGCAATAACAAAGTCTTGGTCATCTAAGCATATCTCTGTAACTGAGGTTAAATCCCGAGTCCACTGGACTATGCTTAATTAGAACTTGACAGCTCGGCTTCAGTGCAACATGCACAAAATTACATAGTATCTGGAAACCATGACTCTTTAACTACCTTCCATGAGACATTGATCCCTGTCTCTTGGAACTGTAATGGCCTCTATTCTTGTGCATTCAGACACATGATAGACTCTGAAGCCTCCCCTAACTGACTCTCCTTTACCTTTTTTCTCTTCTCTTCTCTCTTCCTAGCTTCTCCTCCTTCACTCTCTTATTCTAATGCCTTCGGTTCAACACAGTTAGACATTCCTTACCATTGTTGACAGTCTTTATGCAATTTACACCAGCTAACCCTTTTACTGTAATATGTAATACTTTAATTGATCACACATGCGTTTTCATATGTGACTAGCCACTTTCTGTATCGTATTACTTGTGTCAACTTTTCTCGCAATTTTAAATAAAAATATGAACAAGAAAAATGTATCTTTTGGTCGTTGG